TATCAATGAGTATTTCAAGTAAATAACATACTGAGAAAATACAAAAATTCACTTCATTTTAAAAATTAATATCTACAGATGTCGTTTGGATATTCACCTTCGAAATTTGCGAATTGCCAAGTTCTTGCCATTTGAACTTAGTGAGAAAATAGCTTATTTGTGTTTCAATGATACATATCGATTGTTATACAATAAACAGACCAAGTCTTGTGAATTTAGGTTAAATGGAATTCTGTCACGATTTGGATTGAAACAGGATGCAATAGCTTTTCAATCAATGATATTGCATTTCTAATAATATGTTCAAAGTTATTCGCGTATTAATGAGTCAGTATTTATATCTCATATGTTATATGTATATTTCGAAGGTTAAAATTGCCCAAATCATGCTATTATTGTTCTGAATGTCCATTAATTTAAAGAACATAATTTAACTGTGTACTAATCTTTTGAAATTGTCTGCAAACACATATGTTTGAGGTAGACTGAGGTTAAAAAGCGTTAAACACGAAACAAATTATTAACATTGATAATGTCTATTAATGTTTCAAAATAAAAGCATCAGTTATAAGAAATAAAAAACAGGAATATATGCGTGGCTTAAAAGAAACCTATGCGCGATAAGTGCATAGTAATACCAGGAATTAGCTATATGAAAAAAAAGTAAATAACAAAAAAACACCAAGGAAAATTCAAATCGGAAAGTCCCTAATCAAATGACAAATCAAAAGCTCAAACCCATCAAACGATTGGAACAACTGCCATATTCCTGACTTGGTACAGACATTTCCGTATGTAGAAAAAATGGATGGAACCTGGTTTTATAGCTAGCTAAACATCTCACTTGTATGACAGTCGCATAACATACATATTTCATCTAAACTTGTGTGAAGTTTTTACATTTTAAATATCACTGAATAAGAAGCTTTATACAACGTAAAAAAATCTAAAAATAAGTATGCCATAAAGACTTTGTACTTATTACACATAATACAGCATTTTTACAACGAACACGATTTTTTCAAAATTATTTTTCGTACACGAACATGTAGTTGGTTCGTCACATTTGAAAACATACAAATAAATGTAGGTTCTAGTCAAACTGACCAACCTCAAAGCAACAAAAAGCAAAAAACAAAATAATGAGAATGAATTGAACAAATACTACCAAACCCTAATCATGTTAATTATTACAACTAAGTTCTCCAAATGAAAAATAGCATTCAGAAAAAAGACTAAAAAACAATTACGATGATGTAGACGCGAACTAGTATTTTCAAAATCTTAACTCTCCCCTTTTTAAATATTGATCATTGGCCAAACAAAAGACTATAAAAGATCGGATATAAAAATCAGTACAGAAAAAAAACTTCTCTCGATAAAAAGGTTTACTAAATACAAAAACATAAGTACAATCAAATTAATAATTAATTATATTGCATGAAAGAAAAAAAAGCGTTTACCGAAAGCAGGCTCTAAGTGTATAACCTGCTGACATATGAATCCACGCTGTCCACACTCTAATATCGTTGCTGCATTCCAGACTAAATTGTAAACAACAAAATCATTATCAGTAAAAAATGGCATTGTTTTGTGCATTCCTAAGTAAAAACCTGTACATTACCTACTGATATGAAACCATGCAGTCTTTGCTCTAACATCTCTGACTGTATTCTATACTGGATCTTAAACGACACAATCATAATCAGTAGAAAATGGTATTATTTTGTTTAATTATCAGTACAAACCTGTACATTTAAGTAATGCAGAACATTTACCATGTGTACAGTGCAAAATATTTTGGTGTTATTTTTTTTTAAAGACGACAAGATCGTGTGCCCTGTTTATTAACTCCTTATTTTGGGTAAGGACACTGACATGGTCAATACTGTATTGGAAAATTTTATTCTTGTTACAGATAATGATATCTGATGAAACATCAAACACATAAAAGGGAACTTCATCCTATTTTATAATACCAGAGAGCGATATAATTTCTAATGAAACATCCTCATTTGCAAAGTTATTGATATGATTTTAATATAAGGTTCACCAACATCCGTGTACTTTAGAATGCTTTAAACATGTTGTGACTTAAGATACGTAAATGAGTCCCACGTCAATAAGCAAAATTAAATACATGAGATATAGTATAATGATAACCCAACATCAATTATTCAATGGAAATGAAAATTGAGAGAAAAAGAATGAATGAGAACAGAATAAGCTGCAACATGTGCAAGAAGGGATAACAAAAATGTGTCTCGCTCTTTTCGCTCATCATTCCTTTGTTGTGGAATTGCATTCTTGTTGTTGTAGTCCGATGGATTCACTTATCACATTATATATAATTGGCGACTATGTTTAATATCCTTAAATAGTAATTTCGGATTTGCTGTGAATTATTTTATTATTTATATGATTGCAAAAATAATGACATATATATATATATATATATATATATATATAACATTTTATCATTGATGATTATAACACAGAAACATTTTATTTGATTCGATGTTGTTTCGAAGCAGTGTGGTCAATTGTTATGTACGACATATTACATCTACAATCTTCAAATACTATAACCAACAATGGCATATATATGTTTTTTGTTATGGGATACCCCAAAAATCAAACAGGTAACAATCTAAATACAGTGCACATCTTCTGTACACAAGAATAAATGCAATAAATTGCGATTTATGTGCAGCCGTGATCAAAGAGTTGATGATAACAAACTTATATAAGTAGAACCATCAAAGTCCATGTTTTGGTAAGGAAAACCATAAAATATTCCTCAGACCAAACATGTAAATAGCAGGTCAGTATCTTAATTTCCTGTAAAAGTTTCGGTGCAACAACGGGTTGAATTCTTTTAAGCCATGTCCAAGGAATTATGGACTTCTAAAACTGCAATACCCAAGAACTGATAAGTCTTATTTTTTTTATCATTTGTTATTAGCTTTCAACTTGCTTTCAGTAACTGCGAGTACTCTTAGATCGATACTTTGTGTCTTTAGATCTTTTTTGTGTCGTTTGGCTATTTGATGAGTCAAGCCTTTTCAATTTTTTTTTTAAGCCTGTGATTACATAGTGTTGTTACATCACTGTCAAAATTTAGGCTTAAGTGTTTGCTAACATGTTTAACCCTGCCATATTTTATATGTGGCTGTCCAATCTGTATATATCTAAGTCGTTTTGTCTGTTGTTGATAGTCATTGAACATTTAATTTATATTTTTATGTTGGTATTGGAAAACCGAACAATCAAATATAGCAAAAAAGTTCAAAATATTCTCAAATACTCAATTTGAGATCTTTCCGGTAACAAGATGTCATTTTGATAAATGGATGTCGATGTTGATATTGTATTTTTGAGTGAGGTTAAGACTCATATGCATTTGATATACTTATTGTTTCTAACTTGGCCATTAAGTTCAATAGCCTTAACGGACAGAGTCTGAGGTTTGTTATGAACTGTTTCCAAACATGAAATACATGCCATCCATGACTAGCATCCGTGGGATACAAAAGCAATCTGCCTCCTTATTTCTGATATTGTTTTTGAATCTTTGATTTCAGAATTGCGCGAATATGTGTTGTGTTCATCTTTGTAGAAATCTCTTTTCTCTGCCATAGAAGATACACAATGACGATACCAACGGTCTCCAAAAATTGTTCTTATAGAAGCATGCTTTTTTCCTTACAGTAATTTACTAAAGTGCAAACCATGCTCATGACTTCATTTTCCGATCTGGTCAGCAAAGCTTTTTTAAAGAGATGAAACGTTGTTGTTATTCCTTTTTAGTGTTGATGCTGTTGCCCATATCTGATTGATCAAAGGTGATAATATACTTCAAATTTGTTCATTGAACATGTTGAAGTATCGAGATTATATCATGCTTTTTGTTTATTAATAAGATAAACGTAACGAATATATAGTAGCAATTTCACGAACCAGATAATGACTGCGCTCTTTCGATTTGTGCATGTAATAATGGCATATAGTTATTTAACCTGTTATGCTTGTTATTATAATGATAATTTTTATACAAAGTAAACATTGTAAACCCAAACTTTCGTTAAATTGTAATACAAATTGTCAAGTCTTACACTTCAAGACGAATCAATAGTAACATAGATTATTTTAAATTGTGTTTGCTGAAATTATTTTCTTAAATTAATTATCATTGAAACATAAGTTAGAATAAGTCACAAGTATATCATACCGGTTTCAGTTGTATTATCTGGCAAATGCAGTATCGACACCAATAGGAAAAAAGTAAAATAACAAAAGTACCGAACTCTAAGTAAAATTCAAAACGGAAAATCCCTTACCAAATGGCAAAATCAAAAGGTCAAACACATCAAACGAATGAAAAACAACTGTCATATTCCTGACTTGGTACAGGCATTTACTTATGTAGAAAATGCTTATGTTACTGACATTTATTCTGCGAAGTCACAACTGAAGAAAAGAGGACGTGATTGTAGTTACAAAAATTGGAACATCTCCATAGATAAAATTCATACGGATAGTTTGAAGCACTTAGCAGACCCAACAATTTCGTTTTTTGTAAGGACAATTAATATGTAATGTTTGTTTCCATTATAATGACAAAAGATCCATTTTTAATCTCTAGATGAAATTCTAAAGGAACATAGAAAATAATTACGATTATTCAAGATTTCTTCTTTGAAAATATTCTTGGAAATATATGTCGGTATTCAAAGTTTATTGTCAATTCCAAATATCGTTTTTAATTGTTACTTTGTTCTCGTCCTGAATATGCATATCATATTCGTATCTGCATTCAAGAAAGGCAACAATCAGTAATCAATCTAAAAACAAAAAAATGGGCATAAAATAAAATAAAAAGACAACAATTAATTCATGCTTTATTTGACATAAGAAAATTATAAGTTGCCATCTAATATATCATGCATAAGCACTATTTAAAACAGTAAAAAAAAATACCAATGGGTATTTAGAAAATAACTCCAAGAAAGAAAAACAACATCTTGGTCAAATGAAAAGTGACGAAAAGACGAGCAATTATCACTACACATAAAACTTAATATTTAACAACACGAACACCACCAAAATAACGCACCAAAGCAAAGACACCAAGCAAGCATGTTCTCAAGGATTATGTTTTGATATTCTTTTTATTATAAAAAACGAAATGTGGTGCGATTGTTAATAAGACACCGATTAACCATAAACCAATGGATAAGAAAATTATAATGCATTGTACGGCCTCCAACAATAAACACAATTCATACTATAAAGAAACATTTAAAAAAATCCCGGCATGAAAAAAATGCTTATTTTACTATTTAGATTTGCTTAGTTGAGGTTATGCTAATGTTTTTTTTTCAAACATCTCAACATAAATGCAAAGAAAAGGGTTCAACATTTAGTTACTGCAGTTATCTTTTTCTCTAATTTTATATCCTTTTTTCAATTGATATTCATAAGTCGTTGTAATTTCATGCTTTTGCCAAGTAAAATACTTAGAGCAATATAAATATACAAATTTTTCTTGTTTTCCGTATCTCTATATTAGTATTGCAAATTTGTCATTTGTGCACTTTTAACAAATGAAAAATAATATTGTTTAAACGAAATTAGGTATTAAATGTATGATTATATTTGATGTATGCTTATTTACAGCATTATATGATCCTTTGTATGTATCTAATGTCTTTCCTATTAGATGTCACATTGGATAAGCGGGACTGTATCCGGATCTTTCAAGCCGCTTATGGATTCCAATTTCTTCTCTAAATCAACTAAGGTATCATCAGGTGCAGTAGAAACTGTGAAGACAGAAGAAATAATCGTAGGTTTTGGTAAAAATTAATAAAACTAATGAATTGAAAATTCTATAATAAAAACAAAAATAATAAAACAAGAGGGAAAATACTTGATCGATTTGTTTCAAAAGTTTTTTTTTATTGATGAAATGGTCGGTATTATGAAATGGCCTACTCAATTCCTACCTTGAATTATTGGAGATTTATATTAAAAGTAAATATAAGAAACCTTTTACTAAATGTTTGTTTGGAAAATTAAACTTCTTTTATCCTTGTCAATTACGTTGAAGCTTTTGAATGAAATATTAAGTTGTAATAGAAATCGACAAACTGGCTTTGAAAACGTTGTAAAATGTATGAACATTACGATCTCAATCCTGTGTGAAAGGACAAAGTTTGATCAGGCCACTTTTTGGCACTATGAATTCAAAAATCAAAAACCATTATAAATCTGCCAAATAACATAAGTCATAGTTTCATAAGGCATTACACTATCGATCACCAGTATTTATATTTTGAATTTTGTCTTACATATTTGCAAAAAGTCTGCAAAACCTGCCAAAATAGCCCAGTTTTGAGATTTTGTTACCAATATTTAGATATTAGCAACAGTTGTATCTAAAACGATATTCTGCTGCAAGATGTTTTATACAAAGATGCATATGTGTGTAAAATTACTGTTTCGATAAATTTGTTGCTCTTATCTATTTTGACCAAAACCTAAATGCAAAAATGTAAAATGGCTATTTTTTGGTCAAATATAGCAATTTCGACATGTTGATAAAGTCATAACGACATCACGCGTGACAATACTGCACCAAAATATCTAGATTGTATCAGTCTGTTCATTTATCAATAACATCAACATAGTTTTAAAAGGCTGACTATATTTTTTTTTTGCATTTTAGGGGCCAAATAATGACTCTTATCGTACTTCTTTCTTTGCTCTCAGATATTTTGCATTCAGGCAATGAAGTTGTACTCAATTTGCATGCAGTAACAAAAATATCGCAAGTTAAGTTCTACCTTACATTTAAATTTTATCAAAAGAAATTAAGAGCTAAAATGAATACCAACTGTTAATTTAAGGTAACCAATACTGAAATGGGCGATTCCACAGATTTATGTGAAGTTTTGCAAGCAACTACCGCATATGGATATGCTTATGACTATCGATAAATGATATACCTTGTTGTATACCTTCCGATATACAGCAAATTCAATTTTATGCAAATGGAATTACACATGTACAAGATGCTCGAAAATATCGCAAGATAATTTGGATAATTTGACCTTAAATTACATTTTTTTCAAACATGTCCGAAGCATTATCTTTAAAAACGATAAGTTATTACCATGATTACCAATTGAGTTTTTGTTTTTCTTGAAATGAAATTAATACGGGGTCACTAAATTTGGTTTTGCTTTAAAAATCATTCGAGTATAAATACAACATCTACAAACGTCGACAAATTATATTTGGATGTACAATTCGAATAGTCATACCGAAAAAAATAAAATTTGTAACCCCTACGCCTTTTATATCAATGACATGTAATTTTCACTGGAAACTTTGGGGACAAGATTTCGAGTCAAATTATAAAGTCGAAATTGATAAACATTAGTTGCAATAATAACATGTGTTCTATATATTTGTACCTCAATTTACTTTATCGCGGAAAGTATAACGTTACATGTATCATTGTTTCAACTTTCATATGCTTTCTTCGTTCTCTGATAATTGCAAACAAAATTTCATAAACATCCGTGAGATCATTCGTCCTGTTACCTTAACAGATTGAATCAAATTGATCGCACTGCGTTTCAGCAGTGGAATATTGTGCAGAAGATCATACGAATTAAAATGTCATATTATTGAGACTTTTTTTCTTTTCTTTTTTTTCATGTCTTGAAGTAAATAAGATTTTCATCATCTGTTTTACAAGGTTATGGTTGAAGTAGCTGGTTGAAGTAGCTGTCAAATTTCAAACGTTTCAAGAAATTATATCTTCAACAGGAGTTTCAAAACGATTTTTAGTGATTGGTAAATGTGCATTATAACGCAATTGTCATTCACGTTTTCAATGAACTATTGGTGAAAGAATCAATATACGTTGATTGAGGAAAGTTATTTAATAACCCTTATCTCAATTATATATATATATATATAAATACCAGTATATCTTTTACCTTTTTCACATTGGTTTGGTTCCTGTTCTTTACTTTGTTGTTGTCTACAGAGAACACACGAACACAGTAATATACCAGCTAAAGCACATTCTGCTGAGAAACCTTGAGACAACCCCTCGGTGATGAACTCTATATGAAAATATTTACAAATGAATAACATTGAAGTGGTATGCATGTTTGTTCTATATTTAATCTTTTAAGTATCATTCATATAATAAGAAACTCTAAATTCTATGAAATACCATGGCGATAATTACCATCTTTAGTTTTTCTACAAAACGTTTCAGTTGAAAAGATTAATAATATCCTTGACAGTTTTATCCTAAACAACATCTGAAATATGTTTAATATATCCTCTTATTCATCGTATACCGTTTACATGTTTCAGTAAATACGTAACGATCATGCATGTTCCTATTATACAGACCTCATTTACAAGGGTGTGCTTTTTACATAAAAGCAATTCTAACAGAATTATGAGGAAGTACGAGTGAAATCAACATAACATAAGTTTTACGACAATCATCCCAAATTGGTTGATAACTCCGATGTGTCGATGTCTTAACACACTAGCGACAAGATTTTGCGGTCTTAGATATTTAGATAAAAAGTTGTATGATTTGTCATTATACCGACTGTGTCCTATTCCTAATTGTGACATTTTGACAGATTGTGAATTAGCATTGCGGGTGATGCATGCAAAGAAGAAAACGCTTTCCCTGTAGAAGTAAGCGGTCTCACTCTTTTTGTATGTCATGCGATTTTCTCTGTATTGGTAGTTTACTCTGTTTGCTACATTGGTTTGTCTTTTCTGTATCGATTTACGAGATTTGAACCTCGATAAACTATAGTCTCCTCAATTTGTTCCCGGGAAATTCATCAGTTCGGTAGTCAATGGTTCGTCGATGACATGATTTATAACGTTGAAAGTTAATGAAATTTGAAATTAGAAAGAAAATAAGGTTCCAAATTCCTCAGGACAAATTAACCTAAGGTTGATTTTGGTTGTTCTTCTTAAACTTTCCATCATCTCCTCACGAATTTATGTTATACATCCTTTGGTTTTATTTTTGTTTATTCTTTAGGCGCTTTTGTTGATGATAAATCCAGAAAAGCACTTCGAATGCATCAATTTATGAAGTGTACCGTAGTCATCAATTTCCAAAACAGGATTGTCAAGAATGAGAAGTAATAAATTTGGACATCTATTCTAAAAGAAATATATGTTTGGTAGCAGCATATGTGTATACAATGTCAGGCCAAATAAAACATCCCGTGTCTATAAGGAGAGAAGTTTAGTATAATAAAGAAGCTTACTGGAGTTACCAGTTCTGTAAGTTGGACAAGTGCAGCAGTATCTTCCAGTTAATCGTTTCCTACGGCGACAATACATACAAAAACTAATTCCAACTCCTGTGAGAACAATAAATCCTGCAATTCCACCGGTTAATCCACCAATCAAACCATCTGATTTTAGAAATTAAAGAAAAAGAACTTTATATAATTTAATTCAAAAGAAATATAAAAATAAAAAGATTTGGTTGCCAATGAGACAACTCTTCACAAGAGATCGAAGAACACAGAAAATAACAATAATATGTCACCGCACGGCCTTCAACGATGAGTAAAACCCACACTTATACAATGATACGTAGAAATGCACATACACTACATTTTGACTGTATCATGTGTCTTTAGATTGTATACACTTATTTAGAGGGGGATAGAGTCGTTTATTGCTGAAAATCAAAATGTATTATTTACCATTTTTTGGAGGTTGATGTTGGTTTCAAATATTAACTGTATTATGTTTCGTTCACTTAAAAAAAAAGCATACTGTTACCACATGGTGACTTTGTTTAACCTTGATGAACTACGATGTTACATATATGATTTTGAAATATGAATAAAACTATTGAACATTTGATTCAATGGACTTTTTTTACTTATATTTTGTCATATGTGTATGAAGACTGTATGTAAACGTTTTATGTCTTTTTTATGGTGTTTGTAGTTGGTGTGCTGTCTTTTTGACAAACACTTCAGATTAATGTTATCATATTCATTATTCACAGAAATAATTCAAGTACTCACAATTGTAGTCCCATTGTGTTTCAATTTGAAACTTGAAAGTGTCATTGAATTTGTCTGGTATCACTCTGGTGGGTCTTTTATTGTATGACATTGTGTGATAATCATTATGTGTTTCTATATTTTTTTTCAGTTCAAACGTTACATGGTTTCCATCCTTTAAACACTTTGAGAACAACATTCTTCCGTATGAGTCACTTTTGCAACCTTCTCCTGTGATCTTGAAAGAAGAACAAAAATATACACAGTATACACATTTCGCTAACTTTTCTGAAATTAACAGCATTACATATGCAAAATATGCTACACTTTTCGGAAAACCAAATCAGTTTGTCATGGCATTTACACGTTAAATGAATGCAACAAACACTGTATATGATATTACCCCTAAATAGGGTGAACACATATGATTAATTCTGTTATTTTGATTTGCTGTTACAGAACTATCCTTTATTATCGGAAGGTTGAATGCTCACAATTATGTTTTATCCAACCTGTCCCAAGTATTAAGCCTGTAATTTAGTAGTTGTTGTTAACCACATTGTTCTTTCGTTAACTGTGTTTAGCACAAATCAGGCTCCATATCCAGTATACCCTCGTTTCCAGTGACAGTCCAAATATCAAGTTCCTTCACTCCGGATGATCTCTATTACAATGAACTACCGAGTGTATGTTTTGTTGATTCATTGTTTTCCCTGAACATACATGAACTATTTACCACTGGACGTTTAACTACCAACTATCAATCCATCAATCATAAATTAAGCCGTTGGTTTCCTCTTTTGATTTATTTTGCATTTGTTCATGTCACACCAAATAAAGGATAGTCTTCTACATACGGACACACGGTAACATTTCTGGCAAAAAAAATCGGATGAGTTTGTATTGTACATAACGCTGGGTTTTTTTTCGTAGTTATTACACGATTTTATATTATATGCGTGCACTTATTTATTTTGCCCCATCTTATTTCTGTTTATTTTAGTAACGCTGATTTTGTTATTTCTCCCTTCTTTTTTTTTTAATATGCTCCTTCTTAAATTCAGATGAACTTGTGAGTTACATGTTTATTTACAAGCCGTCTAAAATTGAAAGTAATTACCAGTAACTAACAAGAAAATATGTGTCAACCCTTAAACATTATTATTACCACTTCAGGGTTTTACCTCCGGTCTTATCAAGTAATGGCAATAAATCAAAGTTCCTCATTTTTGCGAATGGTTGTCGAAAGGTGCCCTTTTTGTTTGTGCCCATATACAGTGTAACATGCCTAATCCGACACCTGAGTATTCCAACATCCTGCTTTAACCGACACATTTTTCTGGTCCCAAAATATGCCTATCCTTGCAAAAAAAAACCTGAGTATTCCGACACCCTGCTTAAACCAACATTTTTTTCGTTACCTGGTTACATGGATTTTTTCGGATTACACAGGTTACACTGTACTGCCATCATGAAATAGTATACATTTGAATAACATTTTATTTCGAATTCTTCATCCTCCTTTTTTATACATGTACAATAAGTATATACCTTATTATCATCATAAGTATAGTCATAGGAGTCAGACAAGTATGTCCTGGCGTAAACCACACTCTGACATTTGGGACTGTCGTAGAATAGCTCTTTCATGCACAACTTATACGAATAAAAGGCAGATTTTGGAGTTGTGAATGACATCTGTCTACATTCCCGGGTTCCTAAATCTCCTTCAAACTTCATGTAAACCATGGTATTTGTATCAACAATATATGGATCAGACCTGCACGACTCAATTGGGAAGGAATCTAATAAAATAAATCTGTATATGCGGACAAAAAAGGTAGATAACGAAACATTGAAAATAAAACAATTTTCCAGAACGTGTAACTTTAAACTCAAAGTCAAAAAGAATATGACTTGAATGCTATGTATAGGATCATTTCTTCAGAGTAGTTGTAGTTCTAATATTAAGTGCAAAATTGAACTTTCAAATAATCTCTTCGGTGCGGCAAAATGTAACTAATGTTTGGTTTATGAATAATTTTGAATAACAAACATTGACAAATGGATATTAAAATTATTATTCCGTAAGTAAAAAGTAAAAGAAACATACATGTCATAAACTTCTCCCCAATACAGATATGGTGAAATTCTACCATTAGCATCATGGCAATTGTTACAGCTGACTTTTTCAGTGTCATGTTGTCTAAAATTAGAAACAAAACTGTATACTAATAAAAAGACGATATAAACCAATGGGACAATTAGAATTCATCAGTCGAAGATAAACATAGATGTACACAACCATGCACCGTTGTACGGTTGTATATATAGTCTTTGGAAATTCATTGCAGTTGTGTTGGATTGACATACAAGGCGTTTAACAATCCCAGTGATTTTGTTTTATTACTAAAATTATCACATGATTATTGCATCCTTTGCTATAAATTCTAAACAAAACCTTTAAGGATTTCAGAAAAAGTGGTACTAATTTTACGGTGTCAAATGAAATGAAGGTGTTTTTTTAATATCTACTGCATATTTGAAACAATTTGTTTATATAAAAATCTAAAAAAAAAAGTGTTTTATCTTCTGAAAGGTTTAATGTATATAACTTTCATGTACCTAGTTCGAAATAACTTCAGACATATACATTTCTCCAGATGCATTGGTAGCTGTCGATGTTCAAAACGGAAAAATTCATTTTTAAGGTACACATTAAGATTGTTAAGCTGCAGAATCAGATTAACTCTAAATTGGGCGGGACAGTAAAATAAAAAGGAAGGGACCGGGGTTGCGGTTTGGGCTTTCCCGCTTTGCATGCATCAGTCGTCGTGCGATTCCATTTTTTAGTTCATTTATCACATAGTGGAATTAAACACTATCGGTGAATTTATAGAAATGGCTATAATTTAGAAACTAAAGATCTAAGACAGCAGAACTATAACGCCATGTCAGGAGACGACGAAAAGACAAACAAATTCACAGAACATTACATAAAAAACTGAGTAAAACGAACACCACAAAAAAGTGACGGTGATCTTAGGTGTTCAGAAAGGGTAAAATGGTACAAGACGTTGTGGTAGCTATTTATAGCGCTTTCATAACAGACAGGGATTAATTTCTAAAGAAAAATTAAAAACGTATATAAATGAGGAAACGGTGTGTAATTTGTTAGGTTCAGATTTAATTTAGTGAAAACTGACACAAAAAATGTATTCATTGAACATACAAAAATGATGCAATACAATGTTATTTAAGAACCACATATCACTGTCTGGCTAAACATCCTTCTCAAAGACTGTATAATAGTTTAAATGTAGAATGAGTTCACCGACATCCGTGTACTGTTAAATATCAATGCTAAACTGGTTCGGTCTAAGAAAACTTAGAAATGTTACATTTCAAATGACAGAACTATAAAATATGATGCATTAAAAACAATGTAAATTACATATTTTTTTCAATTACGTAAACTGAATTGTTCATATGTATTTCAAAGGGATTTTCAGAAATTTTCTACTATTCCATTTCTTCATAGAGAGAAAGATAACACCTTTAGGAAAAGAAAAATATGAATGCATTTTAAATGGATACGTGTAAATTGAATAAATGTGCCGCTCTCCTTTTGCCTATTTGTCTTCTCTTGTGGATTTTCATTGTTTCTTTTTCCATTGATTGCAGATATCTGATGCTTCCCTTCAATCTCCATCATCTATCATATTTATATTGTTTGGCAATAATGTGTTAGTATCCTAATAGACAAATTTCTTATGTACGTTCTACTTTTTGCAGCATGACATATATGAACCTGCGTTCTGATGTCAAACGTCATCATTGATGAGCATAGAAAGCAATCCACAAATTAGTTTTTTGATAATGAATCGAATAAGTATATTTGAGTTACCCTTCCGGAGCACCTGAGATCACCACTAGGTTTTGTAGGGGTTCGTGTTGCTCAGTATTTAGTTATCTATGTTGTGTTTTTTGTAATGTTTGTCTTTTTGTCTCTTTCTCTTTTAGCCATGGCGTTGTCAGTTTATTTTCGACTTATGAGTTTGAATGTCTCTTTGGTATGTTTCGCCTCTCTTTTACAAACGCTACGTGAAATTTGTTTTATTTAAAGACATCTTTGATATATGTGAATAGAAAGAACTTGGAAAGATGCCTTTTCTCTTTGTTTCTGAAAATGCTGTATGAATTCAACATGTATGTGTTTTTTATCTTAAATTATATGTGTGCAAATGTGTACTATCTTCTAGTTACACACAATGTCACCCATTGTCAAATAACTTCGTAAATACCAATAATACGAGTAAAGTAAAGTTGACGATTTCTTATAATAACAACTAGCTTACCTGCAACAAATAATTTCCAAATTGTTAATGTTTTGGTTTGTAAAGCTTTACCTTTTTTTATGATATTTGGAAATTGACGTATGTCGACATTACAATAAATTAACAAACAACTCAAGGGCAGATAACAAATAAAACGGATGATGACATAAAATTACAGGTTTATTGTGCTTATTAAAAATTTGTATATTTATAACACAGGTAGGAATCATAAACTGGAATTAATATTTTGTTAACAATAAATTTTTTTATTTTTTTATTTAACCTCAAATAAATTAGTAACCATGAACATATGAGAGAGCAATTGCATGTGATTTAAATGAAGGTAATTATTAACATAACATATAATCGCTACAGTTTTGTCTGCACGAGATCTACATTTTGAATATACCCATTTCGGAATTGTCTCATCGATATTTAAAACAGAAATAAACAAAACATGATTACACTTTCTCACAATGTGTTTTGATTCACTATTTAAAAAATTAGGAAATTAAATCGTTACTTTTTTTTGTTTTATTGGCATCACAATTGATATCTTGTCATCGTTGACTATGGAAGACATACTTGTCATTAAGCATGTCATTTGTCTCGAGTAATACCCAACACTGCATTTTTTTTCTCTAACAAATAGTAATGCTGCTACATGTGTCACAATTTTGTTATGAATAAATGTAAAATCTAAACAATTAAATATTGGGTTTAGTATGCATTAAACCATTTCAGGTTTAGTATGCATTGAACAATTTCAGTTATCATAATTATAAATCTTTTGCAGTTTTTACATAATAAAGAAATATTGATATAGTTTTAATTCAGAACAGGTTCACCAACATCCGTGTACTTTAAAATGTATAAACAGGATGAGTCTAAAGGTACAACATAATGTCCCACGTTATTACACAATATTATATAAGATATAGTATATTGATATCGCAACTTCTAACGCACCATTAATTACTTAATCGAAGTAAAAGCAGATATTCTATATATAATTCATTTTGTAATTTGCACTTTATCTTTCTTTTGTTCTGGAATTTTTTTTTCCGATGGATTTTAGATATTTGATGTGTCCAATTGTACTTTATTGTTTCTTGCAATATATATATATATTTGGTTATTATGTTTAATATCCTGAAGTTGAAATTTAGTATTTGCTGTCAGTTTTTATAACATTTATGTAGAAACAAGGTTATTTATATCACATTTCGTCATTGATGATTAAAAATAGGAATTTTCCCAATCGTTTTCGATACTAGTATTGGTTCGAATTTAAAAAGTAGAAGAAGTGTAGTCAATGATTTGAAAAAAAGAAAATGATTGTCAAAAATTGTTAAATCTTTTATGAAAGGCATGTATCATCAACCATCTGAAAAAAAAAATAAGAAGAAATGGCAAAGTCCATGTCTCGGTATGGGCAAATCGAACAGGTCAAACATTACAATAGCATGTGCACAACTTCCATGCAAATGAATATATGCAATAATGTGTGATTTCTATAAAGACTTGATCAGATAAGATTTAAAAAATAGTAAAATAACATAAACACAGAACTCCAAGGAAAATTCAAAACTGAAAGTCCCATATCAAACGGCAGAATTCAAAGATCAAAACACATCAAACGATTGAAAAAAAACTGTAATATTCCTGACGTGGTACAGACATTTGCTAATGTGAAAAAATTAGGAAGTGCCTGATAAAATGTGTAAACGTATATGTGCAGGTAACATGTAGGTTGAATTCCTAGGACATGTAGGAGCCATGTTCAAGGAGTAGCGGATTAATAAGTTCATTCATAAGTTCATATTGTAACATTAATTCTGTATTTGTTGTAATTAGTTTTGCCCTAGCGATTAATCGGGGTTTCTAGTTTCTTTGATAATTGCTTTTTTGTGTTGACCCAATGAGTCAATATAAAAAAAAAGAAGATGTGGTATGATTGCCAATGAGACAACTCTCCACAAGAGACCAAATGACACAGAAATTAACAACTATAGGTCACCGTACGGCCTTCAACAATAAACAAAGCCCATACCGCATAGTCAGCTATAAAAAACCTTTTTCACCTTGTTCTACATGTTCTAATAGTTTGTGCGTATTTTTTTTTATAACATCACTGTTCCACTTTAGGGAAGAATGAGCGATTGCTATCATGTTTAACCCTGTCACATTATCTGCATGCTGTATGTGATGGTCCATCTACTTCTGTGGTCTCTGGTGCATAGTTGTCTCATTGACATACCACATCTACTTATTTTTATTTGTATTTTGGTATTAGAAAACCAAACATACCAAAAAAAGAATAGCAGGTGCATAACAGGAGTTCTTCTACATGTTACAGTAAAACCAGTACAAGTTTGTTTGAAATCTGTGAAGTGAGTTTCAAAATCATCATTTTATAGACCAGAAAGGATCAAACGTATTTGTTTTATTTGCTGTAATTTTTAAGTTCAATATATGCCCAAATACTCAAGTTGAGATCTTTACAGTTACAAAACGTCATTTAAAAAAAAAGATGTCTATTTGGAGATTATATGTTTTTGTAAAAAATACCAAACATTGGGAAGATCATAAAAACTGAGAAAATCAAATTTTATCAACCAAGAGAACGAATGGAAAACAACTGTCATATTCCGGACGTGGTTCAGGCATTTTACGGCGCAAATGGTGGGTTAAATCTGGTTTTATAGCTAGCTAAACATCCCTCCTGTATGCTAGTTGTTTATTTCTAAGTTATTTTGACATTTGGGTGAGCAAATTAAAATTTAGAAAAGCATACTAGGTTAATGTAACAATTATTGCGACCCAACAGCCAAAGCTGGTAAAAATACTTCACAGGCAAACAACACAACTGACTTAAATGTCACACAAACATACATATAATATAAAAATATGCCAACAAAAAAGTTTTTGTAGTTGGTAGTAAATTTAAAAAATACGCAAACAAAAACATTTTTGTAATTGATAGTACATACAGTATAAAGTATACGACTATTCGATTAAGTACAAGTTAAGCATTACATCAATTCAAGGGTAAACCAAATGAAACAACACTGTGTAATCCGATTTCTCAGATTCCCACCTCCGGACCGACCCGCACCAGGTAAGCCCAAAGTCAAAAACTTAATAGTTGGATGCATAAATACCGAGTCACGTCAAGATTCATACGTCGAAAAGGAACATGATACTGTGGATTCATATATTTTCGTGGGTACCAATTTTTGTGGATTCAGGAAAACTTACATGTTCGTGGATATTTAATTTCGTGGTTTTTTCAGAAGTCTGTATACAAGCTTATAGAAAATTTCTTATTCGTTGAACATTTAATTTCATCGTTCACCTGTACCCACGAAATCCACGAAAATTGGTATCCAACGAATAATAATGAATCCACAGTAGCATCAGACAAATACAGAGAAAAGAGTAATTTAAAAGTAAACAAAAAAAGATACACGATTTCAGCACCTTGAATCTATAACTCAAGACCATCTTGAATTATGTGTGAAGTAGACACTGAATATGTATCTAACATATCTGTAAGGCTATGACTCACAGGTATTTGGAATATTTATATATTTTTTTTAACTTGGCTATTGTGTTAATCTAGCCTTAACGGAAAAAGTTTGAGGATTGTTGGGAATTGTTTTAGCATAAAATACGTGAAGATTGCAACCTTTTTGTCGAAGTTCATCGTCGATAGGATACAAAAGCAATATGTGACTTTAATTTTGATTCAAATGTTAATTTCAGAATTGCAGGACTATATATTCTTCGAATGTAGGTCAAAAAGTCACAGACAAAAAGTCACGGACAAAAAGTCCATGGACAAAAGTCACCATTCAGTTTCGAAATTATTTTTCTTTGAATAAGAAAACGCTTATTTTTAAAAACATGTATTGATTTTTTCTTGAATTATTATAAATAAAGCAACTCTGAAAACAAAATGTATGCTAAAAAAAATCAATAATTAAAATATGATTGTTAGGAAAATAATTTGTCAAAGTGGCTTGGTGCTTAAATGGCTTCATGGTGTCAAGAAATATGTCCTTTGCATGATTTAAATTCTATAAATCTTCATTAATCAAGGCTTATAAACAATTTTCTTAACTGTAAAATGAATATATGTAATAAAAAGGCGGTTATAAATAAATATTTAACCATGATGACAGTATAGCTCATATTTTTTCATTGAAGTATTCAGATTAAATCATGTTTTTTGTTTATTGATAAGATAAATGTAATGATTATATAGTATGACTTGTTAGCCATTTCAAGGACCAGATAATGACTGTTCTCTATTGATTTATGCATGTAATAGTGCAATAACCCTTTTACACAAATTGTTTTAATGACAATTTTCCTAAAAGGTAAACCTAACCTTCAAGTATATTTACATTCAGGTTGTCTAGTCTAACATATGTTACACTTTAAGAAAATTAATAGAAAGACAAAATATTTCAAATTGTGTTTGCTCAGAATCATTGTTTATATTTATCATTCTAGATACATCATTTGTGTACATATGTAAAGTAAATTTAAGTTATGAAAACTTGAGGACAGATCATGAAGATGAGTCTATATGTGCAAACTGTCTTTATGCTACGGAGAAAAAATCTTAGAAAAAAAAAAGTTAAGTCGTTGAGTCAAAAGTTAATAACGTCATACAGGAACTTTTAGTAAAAATGCAGCCAAAGTATTTACGTTGGTTTACCAGAAAGTATATGATTTCAAAATGTCATCTTATTTCGTCCTTTTTTTCTAACTTTCTAGAGAATGCTCTAAATAACATTTAAAAGAAAGGACTACGGTAAAATGGATGAAACAAATAGCGAATCAATAGAGACATAAAATGGGAAATCACCTGACTACACAGTTCGATTCGATAAAAACCGATATCAATAGGGTCACCTTCTAAGTTTAGATACAAACCAAGTACTGTTGAAAAGTAAAAAACAAGTGAGGGATCTGATCCATTTTCGTAATTGAGAGTTATACAGGACACGTCCAAATACGAAAGGAAGAAATAGATTATAACATCAAAAAGCAAAGGACATGGAGGTGAACGATAAATCATGGAAATTCAAATACCTTGTAAAACTTAAAAAAAACAAAAACAATTAACTATAATACAAATGTGCATAACCTGGAAATTCGATTATGTTCAGCGTTCTGGTACTGAATTATTTTAATCACCATGGTCAAATTAATTTTTAAAAATAAAAGACTAATTACTAAGTTTACAGATCTTTTTATTAGAATGAATAAATGAATAAATCACCATACTTCTCATAATATTATATTATGATATTAATATTATCACTGAAACTTCATTCAATCAACAACCAAATGGGAAGTAACATCTATATGGAGACTTATGGCATCTAACAAAATGCAAAAATATGGTTAACTCTTTTTCAACGCCGAAGAAAAACTTTTCGAGTATCACTGAGTATGTGTGTAAAGCTTTGTAAAGGTGGACGGTGGTATGAGAACTTTAATTTCTCCAATTTTATGACTCTACATATTAAGCAAATCGTACTAGTTATTCGCTGGTTGCATTGCATTGTACTTCTATTTCTTTCAGATGATACATATACTGATATCTCGTTAGCAATATTCTTTGACAAGTTTGTTGACAGAAATGAAAATGATAAAACGAGATTTAAAAACTCAAGTTTCAAATTTATTAACAAAATTTAATAAATAGTCGTGAATGTAAGTCTCTAAAACTTATATATGACTTAGTAAGAAGATTTCATGCGAAAATAGTTTTTTGTCTGGCCCAATACTATGGAATGTGTATCAGTTTATTTACTTTACAGATTTTCCTTTATTTGTCTTTATACTAGTATGTTCCTTTTTGTCATATCGCTCTTGACGTGGCTCGTTATTTGTGCATCCAACTTTCAGATGAATGACTTTGTGCGTACCTGATGCGGATGGGTCCAAAAGTACCATTCGGACGAATAGGATTTTTATACTACCAAACTACAAACAGTGTTGCTGTTGGCGTCTTTATCAGATTTATTTATATGCTTCTTTAGATTATTTAAGTCAGTTTTATGAACTTCGCATTTTTCAACTTACCTCGGAGTTTAGTATTGTTTTAGTACTTTCTTGCATGTTTAATGACAGTGTTGTCAACTCTCTCGAGGGAGAAAGGTTTTAACAGGATTAAAAGGGCTTTAACAAAGTTTATTTCATATAATTGTGTTGCTATCATATCGTATGCTTTCAATCAAAAGGTGCAAAATGACGCTTTTCATTTAGAATTCAAATCAAGTAATCAGCTTTCAAAATGTTATTAACTGTTACAAATCATCTGAGATTGTGATGAAAATTGACAATTATTTCGATAATATACTGTTTTTACAAAACACAAATTTTTACTTCATTTGAATATTGATGTTCAAAAATATACTCTAATTGGAATTATACCTTTGAAATTCCTATCATTTGGAACTTTGAGAGAAGAATAAATTATTAAAAAAAATGTGTTATGATGATATATTAAATTTAAGATAACCACGTCTTTTGAATTTCAGTTAAATGAAATTCTGCAATGAGTTGAAGTGAAACAGGATGCAATAGGGTTTTAATCAATTGTATTTCATGTCCATAAAATATGTTTTTACTGGAAAAATATGAATATATCTTATTAAAATGTGTCAAATAAAATTTACGTTTAAAATCTTTCACAAAAGATTACCTGTTATGCAAAAAGACCAACTATAAAATTATCATAATCTGATTCGTAAAGAAACTACAAGTTATAGCTCTGAAAATGTTTTAGTTATCGATTTCAGCAACAAAAATATTAATTGATGCATTTAAAAATTAATTGTATTTAAACTAGGTCGTGTGCATGATTTGGCGGGTATCTTTTTATATTATTTTCGGGGTACGTATTTTGAAGCCGTTAATCTATATCTTAATATAAAAAAGTTATAAGTTGCATTTATTCTTCAAAGGTTTGAATCATTCAACAAATGTGATTTCGGTTTTGAATGTCCTTCAATTTACAAAAAAAAAAAGGTTGCACATATTAATAGAACTTTTCCTCACACAAATTTTAATTGCAATACTAATGACATAAATGTATAAATATGAGAAGATACATTAAACGTTTATAGAAGAAGACCACAAAGAACTTATCACATCCATATCTCATGAGCCATTGAAAGAGACCATGTCCACAAAATAAGTAACAACGACAGTCTATAATCACCACGCAGATAACCAAAGGTAGATAAAAACAAACAAGCGTCGAGCGCCGGTACTTTAAATCGGAAGTCGTGCTACTAGCGCCTGTCGTTTTGTGTCCCATGACAAGTAAATTTCGGTGTGATTATAAAGCAAAATAATGTCTTGAGGACAAAGATATAACATTTCAGAAAGTATACCATTACTTAATTGTGTTCAATCTTACAATATTAAAGGCGTCGAAACTACATAGCTTAAATAATGTTAGGATGACAAGCCGTTGATGTAGTTTAGGTAAATCAAACTCAGATCTGAATGTGTTTAAAAGATATCAAAATTGACAGAAGCTTCTTACCTTAATAAAATATGCACTTCGTTTAATAGTTAAGTTCAACGAACCAAATGTGCACCTGTATATGCATTTAGTGGCTTTTTGTATAATTCAAGTTATAGGCGATATAAATATCAACCAATCAGAACCCTAGCGGAAAAAATAAAGTAACTCATTCATGACAAACTAACATCTTAATTTATTTTATATATATATATGTTAATATTTGATAAGCATTGAACAGATTCATAAAATTGATATTACCTGTTAATTAAAAAAAATGCATATTGACAAAGGGATGAAGAACGGGAGCTTATGCATAGTTTAAAATATATGAATTGTAATACAATAACTTACCTATTATATGGAATTCATTTATCATTTGAACTTTTATTAAATTATCAAATTTTAAACATGACTATATACAATGATATAAGAAGTATGATTAAACCAAACACAACTTCAAGAACATATATCATGAAGACATTGTAATTATGGTACACAATAGTAATTTTTTTAACCAAACTAGAACATTACAGATATTTAACCATACGCTTACATGCACTTGGTTCGTCACATTTGAATACATAAAGACATATGTAGGGTGTGGGAAAATATTACATCATCTCTGCGACAAAAATCAAAAACAAAAATATCTAGAATAAATTGAACAGAGACTACCAAACACCTACCATCACTAAGTTCTCCCAATAAACATTAACTTTAAGATTTCACTTAACACAACATCTAACGATGTGTTATACTCAGGACGGGTCAATAAAAAGTTGTCGGGATTAACTATTATTTTCATGATGTAAACATGCTTCCTTTTTGTATATGAATCAGTGGAAAAACACAATGTACATACTAGGGGAACGAATACAAATCAGTACCAAAAAAAACGTTTACTTTATGATAAAAGTATAATGAATACCAGACACATAATTATAAAAAAATCTATGATAAACTATATTGTATCAAATATATATGTAAAAAAAAGGTCGTATGCTAACAGCAGGCTTAAAGTGTATATCTGCTGATATTGAACTATGCTGCCCTACACTTTAATATCAATGTCTGCATTTCAGTTATAATCTTTTTACAAGACACGACAAAACGGAACGGAACATATCAACATAGTCTGCTTTGTTAATTATATCAGTATGCTGGTTAAGAATGATCAAAGGAGTAGTTAATAATACTGCGAAATAGTTATTTCAAAAACAGAAACATTGGTGTACAGTAAAATATTTGCACTCAAACAGGATATAAATCTAAAATGCTGCATTAAGATTTTATCTTAATACCAGATAACGACATAATATGAACAGTGTTATTGAGATCGTTTAAATTTAGAATAGGCTCACAGAAATCCGTAACTTCAAAATGTTTTACTTCAATGGACAAAATCATATTATATAGGGCATAATGACAAAACAACATCAATTACCTAATCGACGTGAAAATGTTAATACATATATATTATTCAAAGGTAATAGAAAATTTGCACAGATTTATTTTTTTCGGAAAGAGAGAGAGAGCTATTCACCAGACACCATATAACGTAGATGTCAACTACTCTAGGCCACCGTACGGCCTTTAACTACTGAGCGAATCCCATACCGTATATAAGTATTTAAGCGGTCCCAACATAACAAACTAGAAAACAATTCAAACTAGAAAACCAACGACCTGTATTATATACACAACACCAATAGAACAATATGTTATACGGCAAACAAAGTACAACAACTGAATAGCAGGCTCCTTACTTGGAAACGACACATACATAATGTGGCGGGGTTACACATGTTAGCTGGCATCCCTTTCCTCGGACATTGTTGCAACGGCACAATAGAAGAGAAACATTCTGGTAGTCCAGTAGCATGCAAATTTTTATCAAAATCCTTGACTTTGATTATTTATGAACTTGTTATTTTAATAGGCTCACTGAACGTGAACAATACTGAGTGAAATTATATGATGCATTATCATACACATTTTAATAACCATACCAATCAATTTGTTGATTGCATGTCATATTAGTTGTTCTTTTAAATGTAAAGTTCGTAAAAGGAGTAAAATTTAAGAAACGATAACGAGAAAATATATATGCATAAGGTATTTATGAAGTAAACGGTATCATAATAAATCAGTCACTCTTTCAATAAATTGATTTTTAAAAGAATCAATATGCATAGACTAAAGAAAGATGTTTTCACATTATCAACAATCATTATCTACATTACATCTACAAGTATACATCGTGTACTTATCTCACAATACTCTTATTCCTGTTATGTACATCGATGTCTTCTGCAGAGAACACAGGAACACAGTAATATTCCAGCCAATGCACATTCTGCAGAGAAACCATTGGTTAACCTCTCTGTAGTGAACTCTGAAACTATTTCAATTTCATCAAACAGTTATGGTATAAAGTTTTGTCCTATATCCATGCTTTTTTTTTTTTGTATCTACTGGATTAAACGAATCCAAATACTACTAAATGACCTGACGATAATTTTCATCTTTAGTCTTTTCTATCAAACGAATCAAATGACAGAATCACTGATATCATGGGCAGGTATGTCCTACATGATATCTGAAAGACGTTTAACATACCATCTGCTTCTTCATATGGCTTTTTAAAGACCTCAGTTTATACATTATGCTCGTGCACTCAAACAGGATATAAATCTAAAATGCTGCATTAAGATTTTATCTTAATACCAGATAACGACATAATATGAACAGTGTTATTGAGATCGTTTAAATTTAGAATAGGCTCACAGAAATCCGTAACTTCAAAATGTTTTACTTCAATGGACAAAATCATATTATATAGGGCATAATGACAAAACAACATCAATTACCTAATCGACGTGAAAATGTTAATACATATATATTATTCAAAGGTAATAGAAAATTTGCACAGATTTATTTTTTTCGGAAAGAGAGAGAGAGCTATTCACCAGACACCATATAACGTAGATGTCAACTACTCTAGGCCACCGTACGGCCTTTAACTACTGAGCGAATCCCATACCGTATATTATAAGTTATCTACGTTCATATCCGTAGATATGGATATTTTAACACCCTGAAGTATCCAAGTACACCCTGAGGCGCAGCCGAAGGGTGTATAGGGTACTGAAGGGTGTTCAAATATCCATATCTACGGATATGAACGTAGATAACGAATTTATCCCCGGTCTTATTCTAAATCTGGCGATTGTTAGAGAAATTCGACCACAAAGTTTAACGTGAAAGCAACGTTTTTTTCATTTTTTAAATATCTTTTATTGAAATTTGGGAATTTGACATATATTTAACGGGGTGTAGGGTACTACCTTTGGTAGAACCCTACATGTAGACAAATATAAGACGTTTTTAAAGTAGAGACAGAGAAACTGAAATGGGTCGAATTTGGCGCGCAATGTTGTGAGAGTTACATCATAAACGGTGTGACGTAAACGTGGGTCATTTGCATAGCTAGGTCAGTAGTACCATTCATTGACAATGTGGCTGCATAGTGATGCATTTACCAAAATGAGTGCAAATAATCGATATAATAAGATAAAATCGTAAGGGAATTAAGTATTTAATTATACAGACATGATGGAAAATCTACAGAATTCGATATTTCATAAGGAATAACCATGGAACTAAGGAAAACGCGCGTGAAATTCCCCGATGTAATGGGTAGCAACGTCCGGGGATATGGGTTAGCAACACCCAGGGGCTATGGGTTTTGTAACGACGTGCGTTAACCAATCAAACTCCTAGAAATATACTAAGCCGGGGATAAAAGTATTTAAGCGGTCCCAACATAACAAACTAGAAAACAATTCAAACTAGAAAACCAACGACCTGTATTATATACACAACACCAATAGAACAATATGTTATACGGCAAACAAAGTACAACAACTGAATAGCAGGCTCCTTACTTGGAAACGACACATACATAATGTGGCGGGGTTACACATGTTAGCTGGCATCCCTTTCCTCGGACATTGTTGCAACGGCACAATAGGAGAGAAACATTCTGGTAGTCCAGTAGCATGCAAATTTTTATCAAAATCCTTGACTTTGATTATTTATGAACTTGTTATTTTAATAGGCTCACTGAACGTGAACAATACTGAGTGAAATTATATGATGCATTATCATACACATTTTAATAACCATACCAATCAATTTGTTGATTGCATGTCATATTAGTTGTTCTTTTAAATGTAAAGTCCGTAAAAGATGTAAAATTTAAGAAACGATAACGAGAAAATATATATGCATAAGGTATTTATGAAGTAAACGGTATCATAATAAATCAGTCACTCTTTCAATAAATTGATTTTTAAAAGAATCAATATGCATAGACTAAAGAAAGATGTTTTCACATTATCAACAATCATTATCTACATTACATCTACAAGTATACATCGTGTACTTATCTCACAATACTCTTATTCCTGTTATGTACATCGATGTCCTCTGCAGAGAACACAGGAACACAGTAATATTCCAGCCAATGCACATTCTGCAGAGAAACCATTGGTTAACCTCTCTGTAGTGAACTCTGAAACTATTTCAATTTCATCAAACAGTTATGGTATAAAGTTTTGTCCTATATCCATGCTTTTTTTTTTTGTATCTACTGGATTAAACGAATCCAAATACTACTAAATGACCTGACGATAATTTTCATCTTTAGTCTTTTCTATCAAACGAATCAAATGACAGAATCACTGATATCATGGGCAGGTATGTCCTACATGATATCTGAAAGACGTTTAACATACCATCTGCTTCTTCATATGGCTTTTTAAAGACCTCAGTTTATACATTATGCTCGTGCACTCAAACAGGATATAAATCTAAAATGCTGCATTAAGATTTTATCTTAATACCAGATAACGACATAATATGAACAGTGTTATTGAGATCGTTTAAATTTAGAATAGGCTCACAGAAATCCGTAACTTCAAAATGTTTTACTTCAATGGACAAAATCATATTATATAGGGCATAATGACAAAACAACATCAATTACCTAATCGACGTGAAAATGTTAATACATATATATTATTCAAAGGTAATAGAAAATTTGCACAGA